CGAGGGAGGGGGAGGCGAGAGCGCCGTCGCTGCCGCCTCAGGCGCCGCGGTGCCGGGCTCGGTGCATTTGGCGCTGAGCGTCCTGCACGCCCTGCTCTACGCCGCGCTCTTCGCCTTTGCCTACCTGCAGCTGTGGCGGCTGCTCCTGTACCGCGAACGGCGGCTGAGTTACCAGAGCCTCTCTCTCTTCCTCTGTCTCCTGTGGGCAGCGCTCAGGACCACCCTCTTCTCCGCTGCCTTCTCGCTCAGCGGCTCCCTGCCCCTGCTCCGGCCGCCTGCTCACCTGCACTTCTTCCCCCACTGGCTGCTCTACTGCTTCCCCTCCTGTCTCCAGTTCTCCACACTCTGTCTCCTCAACCTCTACCTGGCGGAGGTAAGGCGGGAGGACCGGCATGCGGGGCCGGGCGGGCAAGCGGGGCCGCCGCGATCCAACTCTGGCTGAGGACCGATGGGGGTTGGGGGGTGAAAGGCGGACCCAAGACCAGCCTGGGGAAACCGAGGCACGCCTGGAGGAAGCGCCAGTGTTCTCGCCCTAAACTTAAGCAGCTGATTGACTCGGTTACTGAGGGCATGTGGCGGGGGCGGGGGGGGCGGCGTGAGTGAGAGTGTGTGTTCTGACAACTTAGAACAGCAGAACAACCCTTTGTTCGTTGTTCTGGCCCTCTAAGGTAAGGTGTTGGTGGCACTAACAAAGTGGCATCGCAAGAAGTAGCAGCCCCGGTAGCTCCGCCGAAGCTGGACCGTGTTGAGAGGTTGGATGCTGAGGTAGCAGCAGCTCTGCTGAAGCTGGACTGCTGCCAGCCATTACGTCACCAGGCAGAGCTGTTCCTCTGCTATTGTTGCTGCGTTTCTTTTATTAGAAGCTTATATTCCCTCCTGCATCTCCTTTCCTGTGGCTGGATAAGCCTCACACAAATTCCGTTCGATAGTTCCCCAGCAGGGTTAATGATCAATAACCAATGCTGAGGGTCAATAGAAAGACCTCTAAAAAGCCCTTAATGTTTGCCCCAGTTGTTTCATGCTTTGGCTATTTATCCTACCTCTTACAACCTAGCCCTTTTTTTTTTTTTTTTTTTGAGCTAATTAAGAGAAAATATTGTGTTAGCCTGTGCCTATTGCAGAAACAAACCACCAAACTGTTTTTGCAATAACTTGCTTAATAGCTGGAAGCTAATCACACCCCCTTTCTTTTTTATGGGGAATTACTGGTTGGATTGCATTGTTCTGTGCCGCTTAGGTATTTGACCCATTTCAAACAGGTTTAGGAGTGTAAGGGTGTCAGTCATGTGTGTTAGCTCGTGGTATTTAAGCCACAGAATTTTGAGAATCGCCCCTAAAAAAGTCTCCCTACCCCCCCCCGCAAAAAAAAATAGCTTGAGGAGGAGAGGAAACAAGGTGACATCATATGCTTAATACTGACTAATATAGAACAATATTGGTCTGTGCAGCTAATCCTCTCAAAGGCTTTTAGAGGTGATGAGAATTATCATAGTTATGAGCAAAAGTAAAAACATTTGAGGCAAATTATGTGTTTATGTTTCCTGCATACCTAAACCAATTCATTTCTCACTTATTAGATTGGAAGTAGAATCCATAATTTTAAAATCCAGTCATAACTGTAGCTTTTGGCACGCTAAAAACAACAGTTGAAAATAAGTAACAGAACTTTAATTATTTTTCTTCCCTATCCTTTAGAGGTCCAAGCAGTGACAAAAACCCAAACAGAAGCAGAAATAAAAAACATGGGTAATCATAAATCAAATAATCATGCCATAGTCATGTCACTTAGTAGTTTAAGCTTTAATAAAACTCTCCTTTATGGTTAAACTGATACACTGTATTCTTCTTGACACCATTTCTGATAGGATACCAGTGACTTATCACTGAAGCTTTACTCTAGCTTCAGATACATTTAATTTACTGGAAAGTGACTAGCAATTCCTATGCCACTAGCATCATATAATTTGTTTTGCTTCTATACATTTTGACTTATAAAATTAATGATTCACTGTTAAATAGTTGGGCATTTCATAAAGTAACTAAACACTCTTTTTACCTTTTTCCTGAGCTATAGCATATACCATAAAGTGCATAAATCTTATGCGTACAGCTAGGTGAAATTTGACATATGGATACACTCATGTTATCACCACCCAGATTAGAATATACAGTATGTCAGTGCCCCATAAAGTTCTCTTGTCTCTCTCCCAGTCATACCTCTCATCCCAAGGTAAACACAAAGTGGCTAAACACTATCACAGTAGGAAAAAAGCATGTATAATTAGTCTAAAAATTCTAAAAGTATGCGTCTGTAGTATAAACTCTATGATATCTAGATTGGGTATTCAGACTTTTGACAGCTGATATTCCAAGCTAGTGAGGAAAAATTTAAATGTCTAAGTCTTCCTATTAAATGAACTCTTGTTTGTGTGATGTACCTTTTAAAAAGCAATAAAACTCAACTTAGAAAATATAATTTGGAAAAAGGCTGGACTAAAGCTTTTTCCTTTTGTAGTGTCTCAAAGAGTGTAGGTCGCTTGTCTATGCTTGTCTTTTTATGATCAAATTACCAATTTTAAGACATATAACTGTACTTAAATCACATTTCCAACCTGTTTTAAAAGAGATAACCAGAAATCAATTTCCTATTCATTAGAAAAAAATCCAGAGTAATCTGTATTTAAGAGTATTTGCGTTCAAATTTTTATATCAATTCCATGTTACTGGAAGTATCTTTTCCGTTGGTCATTCTGAATTAATGAAGCTTTCCCAGTGAGTTCTTTGTATTCCTAGTGAGCAAAATAATAGGGAACATTTATGTGGTGACAAATACAAAATTTACCTGACATTTGATTTTTTTAAACCAAAAGGCCTTGAGATTTCTGTTTTGAATAGATGTGGTTCTTCATTACCAAGTCACTGTCTTTACTGTCGTATTATATACCAATTTTATTTTACTTTTGACTTCTTTAAAGCAATTGTTATATCTATTTCCCACTAAAAAAAATTCTAAATTTCAGGACTTAGTTACAGAGAACCATAGAGCAGTATAAAAATAAAGTAAGTAAAACAACCATTACTGCTTTAAACACATTTTGGTGGTTCTTCTAAAATTCATAGTTTTCCAAAAAACCACTCTGTTGACTACACTTGATTAGAATTGAGGTAAGGAGAAGTAGCCCTTTCTGAAATAATTAGACTTTTCAACTTATTATAATTAGCCTCTAGGAATCAGATAGTTGTAAAAAAGAAACCTATACACTAATCTAAAAACACCTTTTGAACTTTTTCTGGCATGACATATGCCTTACCAGAAAAGGGTTCACACTCCTGTACTTCTAGCACAAAAGACTTTAGTCTTTAAAACATTACAGTGGTCCCCTGTTATCCACAGGGTATATATTCCCAAGACCCCCAGTGGTTGCCTGAAACTGCGGATAGTACCAAACCCTATGTACCAAACTATTTTTTTTTTCCTGTACATACATACCTTTTCACTAAAGGAAGCACTTTACAGCTTCTCCGTGGTGTGTCCAAACTGCCAGTATCACAATTCTTGTGCTTTGGGGCCATTAAGTAAAATGAGGGTTACTCGAACACAGGCACTGTGACACTGACAGTCGATCTGATAACCAAGACAACTACTAAGTGACTAATGGGCAGGTAGAGTATACAACTTAGACATACTGGACAAAGGGATAATTCACATCTCAGGCAGGACACAGCAGAATAATGCGAGATTTTATCCTGCTGCTCCGAATGATGCACAATTTAAAACATGAATTGTTTATTTCTGGAATTTTCTAACCACAGTTTACAGGGGAGTAACTGAAACTGCAGACAAGGGGAGCTTCTGTGTACCTGATAAAATGGTTGCTATCTATCATTGGAACAAGTAATAGGACTTAAAATGAGAGTTGATAGTATACTATTTTTTGGAGTATTGCGATGCACGCCAAAATCAGTTCCTCTTTGAGACCTGTAATGACATTTTTTTCTTGCATTTTTGTAACGTGAGTACCATATGCTTAATCAAGATAAAATACTGTGACTTAATCACAACACCAAAGCAATTAGGAGAATTAAACTCAAATTTTAATTTTTACATTTATGGATGCTATCATTGTCTCAGACAATGGATATCTTCCAAATATTGATGGTATGTCAAATAACATGCAGTTCAATTTATCAATACTTTGATTTTGTTATAATGTTGTGATTTCTCACAAAAGTATTTTCATCACCTAAAGCAACTAGAACAATGGTGACTATATCATTGCATGACAATCTTGAAAAGGCCAAAACCTAGAAAATATTTAGCCACTTATAATTTGGGGGTTAACTCAACTTTTATTAACATTTGAGGTAAATTATTTGTATATTTTCTGGGATCTTTATCTTTTCTGCCTAAAAGTTTGCTTATGGTATGAATGCTGAGATTCTCTTAGATTATCCTGGTTTAATTAGATAAAATTTAATTTTGATTACTATAGGTAAAATCCTAATGAAACCACTTTAATATGCTACAGAATTTTGCTTAGCAAAACTATTTTTATATCATGGCAAATATGGCTTAGTAATTAGAGCTTTGCTAATTTGGTTTTAACAAATTCTATTAAATAGAGAAGCCTATAAAACAAATGTCTCACATCATGAGTCAATTACTATTTACTGAAATAGTGGTTTATTTAAATGTTGGATTTTTATCCATAACTGTTATTTTAAACTAGATATTTTATCCATGAATCTCCTAAACTATTTTATCCATGAACTTGATTCAATTTTTCCTGAGATCATCTGTGAGACAAGAGTTTGAGATATAATTCTGTGGCAGAAGACATAATTATAATGCCTTATATTTTCAGTGAGATGTAATTTGTCTAAGATTATATGGCTAATATGTATTAGATATGAGACTACTGTATAACCAGGAGCTGTAAAGTCTTGTCAAGTGATCTCTCCCTATGAACTGTCCTTGATACCATCAGCTCTTTGTTTATTATTTAGTGCTTCATTATTTAACTTGCTTTGTCATCTTCACCACTTCAAGCCTCATTCACTCTCCAGAAAACTCTTCCTTTCCTTCTTCCTTCACATTCAGCATATGACCCTCATCTCCTAGTTTATAAAAGTGTGAACCAGGGCCATCTGGCTGAACAAAGATTTAGAGAGATGCCTTAAAATGATGCAGAGAGTATTTAATCTTTTTCAATGAATGGTTAAGCTGGTAAGTGAGGAAATACCTCAGAGACAAGAAACCATAAAAGAAATGAATGTGGAATGGTAAAGTACTACACAGATGTTTGTCTTGGGATTAGGAGTAGGTATCGATTTTAATTTTATGTGTTAGAGGTGTGGGAGGGTGACATTGGA